TGCCTCTATTGTTGTCATGAATGGATCTATGTAAAACAGAACCTCCTCCGTATAAGTAGACGAACTGAATAAAACCACTCTCAGTCCGACCGTCCAACACAACACAGCGGTCGTTCCATTGCTGAGCTACAAAGCTGGAGGTTGTTCAGTATGTATAATATTATATATATATAATAATATATATATATATAATATTATAATATTTTCTGGTTTTCCCTCAGTGTCCTCCAGCTGCTCTTCATCTTGATTTATGGTTGTTTCCTGATGGACAGATAGCTTGTTTCTAACACTACAGTAACAGCTAGCTGCTGTTAACTATAGCTGCTGTTATCAGCTAGCTCTGCCTGAAGCAGCGGCCATAACCTTCTGTACTAACCTTAAATTTGTAAACACCAAGACGGCAAGCTCCCAGTCCATGCATAATTAGCTAATTGGACGGCTAGGTGCACAGCTAACTGAGCTAAGTAGCTACTAGCAATAGTTAGCGGCTAAAGTAACAGGTAACTTAACTCCGTAAATCACAGAAAGCTGAGGCAGAGCAGCCGGAGGACATCACAGGGAAAACGGGAAATGTTCCCCATAAAATAAATTATCTTCACCAAAACCAGGGTTGTGTTTCTGTGCTGTAATCAGTGAGGCCTAGTCTCTCATAGCCAGCGCTGTGCCAGCTAGGTCCAGGGCTTTTTAGGGAGGGAGCTCTCATGGCATGGAGGATGAATAGAGGCGCTGAAGCAATGGACAGTAGCCTATGAGAAAAAAAATGTGTTTTTTAACATTAAAGCTTGTAAACATATTCTAGTAGACACCCAAAATAAAGGTATGAGCCTGACAATGAGCATAGTATCCCACATTTTCTTTGTCTATTGTTCCTTTTCACAACCTGATACAGACCTTTATCCCTTAAGAAAAGTTTATGTAATCATAAACTGTGGTGCAATCCAAAACTCTGTCATTGTGAAGTAATGCAGACTCAGGCGTTGTGTTTCTATCCAGCAGCAGCAGAAAAGAAGTAAGAAACCCCAGACACGTACAGAGGACCAAAACCTGAACATCCGGACCACAATCTGTAAACAATCAGTCTTGTCTTCTGTTACTAAATTGAGTAGTCTATGTGAAATAGATTCCCCATTTATCTGTCAACAACCATATGTGTTACAAAAGCTACAGTAATGCAAGTTGCTGTTGTAAATGCTACCAGTTCTTTTACCATAGCAAGGAATAATCTTTATTTGGTGTGCCACCTGTAAATGTAAAAAGTGCCTTACTTTAACACATAATGTAAGTGTTAAAATAGATACACGCCTTTACAAATTCCATGCTGCAAGTAACCTAGCCAACGAGCCCCCCCAAGCTAAATTAGTATAGATTTTGGAGCAAAGTTGATAATTGAGGGGAGATACACACGAGTTGTCACTTATCCCACAAAGCCCACTCTACCTGTAGTTCAAAGTCCTAAGTAATAAACCAACTCAGTTCATTTCTCACCAACTGTAGAGGTAACATTATTTCTGCAAATCATTTCTTACTGGAATTTAATGTGTCTCGTTAGCTAGCGAAAGCCAACTGATGTCAACGTGAGGTGTGCCGTTTTTGGTCAAGAGCTGCAGACAAATTTTACCATCATATGTCCATATTGTCATAAACCTGCTTGAGGAAATGTGACAATAAGATCCATGCCAGAGATTAACTTTTAAGCAATACATGGATGTGTGGCAAGTGTGCTGCGGAGGTGACTCAGGGTGGATTTAAGGGCCCAGGTGAACTTCATCAGCTGACGACCCTCTCATGTAGGCCAACTGCCTGAGATTTGCCTGGACAGCCTCCCAAGAAAAGTTGGAGGAGTGTCACAAAATGTAAGCTGTCATGATGTCTGTCTTCTACCCCCCCAGCTGAAAGAACATCCTCAGTTGTTTGCAAACAGGAAACCTATAGTACACAGCAATAAAAATAAAATATAAAGTCAAAGGTGTAAATGAAAAAGGTCTTCAGTGTACAAAATTTAAATTGGCCCAGAGCAGAAGCTCAGGAAATTGAGTGCCACAAGATTAAATGACAAGCTGTCATAGTGTCTTTACAGATTTTTTAACCAAAACCCATTACATTTTTTTAGTTTTTAGCTGACAGAACCCATGTTTCAACACAGCAACTCACTCGATTGTGACCTCAATCTTAACTCTGTCCTGACTGTTTATGTTAGCTAAATTTAGGCCCCAGTCAGCCAGGATGTGTTTATTGCAGTAAGGTGAGGTGTCTATTTAAAGTTGTTTCTGCCATCTGCATGTCATGGGTGTGGTGACAATGTAATACATATTTCTGCATACTGCAGAGAGTGGCAAGTCAATTGGGATAATCTGCATCAGAAAAGTGTCAATCAAGAGGAAAACTGCAAGTTGATGTAAATGATGCAGATTTAATATTAAAAAGGGCTGTGAAGATGCTTTATAGACAGGAAATAGATTTGTTATGTTTGTTTGACTTTAAATAACTGGCTTGACAAATAGTTTGACATATTGGGAAATAAGCTTATTCGCTTAGTGTAGAAACGTCAGATTAAAACTAGTAATTTATACAGTTTGTGTACAGATTAAACAATGACATACAGTATAATGTGTCTTCTGGACAGAGCAAGGCTAGCTGTTTCCATGTTTTCACTCTTTATGCAAAGCTAAGCTAACAGGGTACTAGCTAGCCTTTTATTTAACTGACAGATATGAGAGTGGTATCGACTGTTGTGGTGGCAGCCCGGCTGACGGTGAGTGTCCTGGTTTTTTCTACTTTTTATCAGTTCTTCTGCTTTTTTCCTTGGTTTCCTGTTCTCTGCCCGCCTCTCTGTGTTTTCTCCCCTGTGTGCTCTCTCTCTCCCTCTGCTCCTGAGCCCAGCCAACTACCTGCACCTGCAACCCATCATCCACCTCGTCAGCCTGCCACACCTGCCAGTATTCAACCTCATCCCAGCCTGTATTTCAACCCCGGTTCTCCACACCATCCTCGCTTGATCGTCGTTGCTCCATACCTGGTGCCACTTCTGTGTTCAGGCTTCCACGTTTCTTGTTTTTTTTCAAACTTACCCTGTGCCTTGTCATTGTCTCCCCCTAACCCTGTCTCTCTGTCTGTTTCCCTCCCAGGTACACTCCCCCTCGTCCTCCTTTCGGCTGGGCTCATCCACTGGCCCACTCCCCTTCGGACTTCCCTCTCGGCGTCCTCCCTGTTCCCCTGCCTCTCCTCGCTTCCTTGGCCCCTGTGTTCCCCGGCTCCCTGGCCCCCTGTCTCCTTGGTTCCCCATGCCAGTACTTCCCTGACGACCTCCTCTCCCTCCACTCCAGTCCCTCTCCCCCTTTTTTCCCCCAATAAACCTCCTTCCCTCTGAGTGCTGCATTTGGGTCCTCTCTGTCCACACACCACACCCCGTAACATCGACCTTCTCATTTAACTCTCTGGGAGAATAAATAAGCTTGTAGTTTCACATATTTTCCACAACCTTTGAGAAATGTTTTTTCTTTTAAAGCTGTTTATCTTGTTTTGTTTCAAAATATAAATATTACAATGCTTTACATTTTTGTAAGGGATCTTTATTGCTTATATTCAAGTCAAGATTTTATTTTACTTCTCACAAGTGTCTTTGAAATTTGAATTAAGGATTGTTTTACCAGTGTGGGTTTTTAATTTCTCTGCTGAAGTCTGAGAAGATGAGTTTCAAGCCAAATCAGCCAAATAATAAATGTAAAGAATGCACACAGACAATTTAGGTTATTTGATATAGTGGGTTTTTCCCTGCAACAGATCAAAATTCAAACTCTGCAAAACCTCTGTTATTTATTCACATTGCATTCATTGTTCCTTTAGTATAATGAAATAAACCTGTTGGGTTGGAAAAATACTAGACTGTATTCACTAGACATACTTGTTCATGACTAGTGACTGCTGTCAACAACAAGCCTGAATACCTGCCAAAGTTTCCACGTTGAGATATAAAGCAATGCGATTACAATTGATGTAATAAACATAATTGACACAATATGAGTTTGTAGAAACTTTATGATTCTTTGGGGTTCATTCAAGAAAATCTTATAAACCCTTGAAAATGGAATTAAAGAGTTAAAAGAAAAACATATTTTCTCAGTTACCCTCGGAGGTAACTAGTCTGCAGACTCACTGTCACTGGGGCTTTTTCTTTAGAAGAAAGTATAAAGCTGTTTGCTGCATGTTCTGTGCTTTATACAGACATGGCCAGTCCGTTGTTCAGTGCACCACTTTGGCACAGACTGAAATAGCTCTAATAACAACTATGTGATGGTTTGTCATGAACGTTTGTACAGACATTCATGTTCCCCAGAGGGATTAACTGAAGCCTTTTAAGATTTTTCATCTAGCACCACCATGCTGTTTCAGATTTGTAGATTTGAGTAAATGTCTCCAAATCTGTAGGATTAATTACCTTCAAATTGGGTACACCCATTCATGTCCCCTGGCCCCAAGGATTAATTATAATAATTGATCTTTTAAAATCCTGTCTAGCGCCACCATCAGGTCAAAGTTTTAATTCTTCCAATACTTTTATGACCAAATATCTGACATTTCCATCAGCCTCAGCTTTATGTTGTGTTTATGCTAAAAAGCAAATATTAGTGTTCCAAAATGAAAAAACTAAACTAAACTAAACTAAAATGGTAAACATACCTGCTAAACATCAGCATGTTTGTCACTGTGAACGTGTTAGCGTGACATTAGCATTTAGCTGAAGTTACAGCCTCACAGACCCTTAGTCTGGTAATCTGAGAGAGCTGAGAGACCCATAAAAAAAACTCCTAGCAGACAGTTCTCCCTGTTATTAACCCAGTATTGGAAGGTGCTCTTTAAATGCTAATTGTCACCGATCAATTGAACAAAACAATCTGGCAAAGAACAGCAGTAAAATGAGGTTTGTGTAAACTACCAGCAAGACACCATAGACTGTTCAATATCTTGGTGAGATTTTAAAGAAAGCGGGAAACAAATTCATTATTTCCAAGTTTATTGCAGCTATAAAGCAATCATGAAACAGACAAGCACATACCTAAGAGTTGGAATAAAAAAATAAATGCAGGTACACAGAGAAAAGAAAAGTTACTTCATAAAGAATGCAAATAAAATCTTAAACAACTAATAAATAACATGCATTCAAATGTAAAGGCAGTGACGTGAAGGCCGCCGGGATGTGTGAACATCTTAATGTGGGTACATTATATTTTTACATTACAAAAATTAGGCTTTCAGCTGAAATGTATTCGACTCCCACACAACAGAGCTCTCCAGTTTTATGTGGAAGATCATCATCGCACAATTTTTTAACAAGTATCCAGTAAATGATGAAGGGATTTATCCTGACTCAGTCTGCTGGGAGAAAGTTTTCATGGTTTATCATCTTGGCTGAAAACCAAGGGGATAAATGCAAAAGGAAGTCTGACAAGTCTATGAGTCACAAGATCTTGGAGAACATTCAAATGGTTTTGCATGTTTTGGGTAAATGCCAGTTCTGTAGAATTTATATTACTGATGATACGGATTTGAGATAAACTCATTTACAGATAAACAGGGCTGTGCTTGGATTAAATTTCCAAATGTTTTCTGGAACTTGCATAAACATCTTTCTGCTTTCCATCCCTCTGCTCAGTATGACAAATGATAGAGCACTTCTGACGTACAAGTACAAGAGGATGATGCGCTAATACCAGTTCAACAGGGTCATGTGTGTGGAGTAACAATGAAAAGAATGCAACCATATTTTGGCAAATTTTGTGTAAACTATATTGAGAATCTGAATGGACACCACTGAACAGATTATGCTACAGAAGCAGTTTGAAAAGGTTTTATGGACATTTTGATTTATTTTTCAAAGAAAAACCTGCATTCGCTGTGAAAAATCAAGAGAGTATCACTCGAAACAGTTTCTGTGTTTGCTAAGATGCATTTTTCCTTACACATACACGTTTAAATGCACATACAAATACATGGAGTAGTACCTGTACTAATGTGCTTTGGTCTGGTCAAGTGTGACACTGTATGGCGATTTACAGTCAAACTAAGCTTCAGTCAGTCCTGTGCGTACAACGCAGACTACAACATGAGAAGGCACCGTGGAGAGGCACAAAGTAGAGACATTGTTGTCCATTTATCCCATCATGCATCATCTTCAGAGCGTTCATCACTCCTCAGCCTCTCTCGCTCTCGGTGCCGCTGGATGGCTCGCCAGATGCGGCAGTGGACTCCGCCCCTGAGGAAGGATTCATCATTTTGCATAGTAAAAGAGAAAACTAACTTCTGTCCACTTTTAGAAAGGAAGATCTGGTTCAGCTACTCTTGGGAGCTGATTTAAATTCATAATATCTGTCTTAGATGGAGATCGACTTCAGAAGAAAGAAGACGGCTTCACAACCCATGTGTACTCTGGGAGAGGATCCTGACGTGGGCGCAGCAGACTGTTGTTGATGGAAGACCAACACAGAGGCTGTTTATAAGAAGAGGGGGATGAGTAGACTATTTCCTGCTACTACTACTGATATTGTACCTGAAATCCATTAGACCTTGAGTCTTGCTACTAAGATTTACCCTCACCAAAACGGCCGCTTACCGTGGAAAGTTAATGTCAAAGAGACAACGATGCATCTGAAAACCTGCAGATTCTGTACATACGCGCACATACACGTTTTCAAGAATGATAATTCTGATGGAGGCTTGTTATTTTTTACCCATGCATTTTTAACATTTGTCAGCCACCAAGAGTAGCTTGATTTGATGTTCCTGTCTGCCAAAATTAGTTTTTAATATTAAGAGTAGATACCGTAGACGTAGACAGTGGAGGTCATCTTTGGTAACGTCGTTGAGAACATCAGTCAGCGTGTATTCCTCCAGCACAAACTAGAATCCAACACACACAACCATCAGTTTGAAACCGCACGGTGTGCTGCGGTGTGCTTATGGACATAAAAGAAAAAGCTATAGACAGAAGTTCAAAAGTCAATTCAACCTTATCTATGGTGTAAGCGTCTGCCCCCTGCTCTTTCAGCCAATCGGTGAGCTGCTTGTCCGGCTCGTGGTCCGCTGGGATATGGAAGATGGAGGGAGGTGAGATTTCTTTTAAAAAACAGAGAGTTAGAGAAGAGAAGCACAAACATTATCAGTCAACCAATCATCAGTCAGTGTGTTTACCTGGTGGTCTGTGTCTGACTCTGACCAGCTCCAGGTCGTGTGTTCTCTGCTGCAGTGTGGCCTTCAGGACCTGCTGGTACTCCTTCTCCTTTTGCAGCAGCTCCTCCAGCAGCCTGCAGGGGGCACCACAGCAACCGTGACATCTGTTATAACAAGCACTAGATCTCACAGGTGTATGGCATGGAGGGCCTGGGACAGCTGAGCATAGATGAACAGAAAGCTATCAAAAACATATACACTGGTCCGTTCATCAGTCGTATGTAGGAATTTGAATCCTGCTAAAATTCACACAAATGGCCTACATGTCAAACAAGCTAATTAGCATATGACATGACATGAAATTAAACACTAGAACTGGCCTAGTCATGTAAATGATAAGTGGGGTAGACGATAATTGGGCCATTGGGTCTGATTCGCCCCTCGGAATCACTGTACTGGATATCACTCACCAAACCCAATAACAATCAAACAGAACGGAAGTTAACTTCGGGCTGGCAAAAGAAAAAAAGAAAGTGCTAATTGGGTGTGTTTCCATTTACTGGTTTGAAGCTGTTTAAACAAGGCTATGCAAAGCGCAGTTTTGTCAGAAGATGACGTTGCACATTGCTGTCATAAGGGCAAGCTGCAACCAGCTATGTTCCCGCGCGTTAGGAAATTTTCCGGGAAGACGCCCACAGCAGAAATAGCTAATCAGATGGAGTGAAATGAAATGTAAACTAAATCAGAATTTATTCTGCAAAGGTGTTTCCTTTTCCTATTTATTGCATTTACTCTTATTTGAAATAGACAAAAGTCACCTCAAGTGAGTGTAACAACTTTTTTTCGAATTTAGCCGTTTCCATCAACCTTTTGTAATACTTCAAAATGTGCATTAAAAAACTTGATGGAAACATGGCAACTGACAGCAAGCTGATCGTGAAAAGTCACCAACGTGATGTGTATTTGCTTGCACTACAAAATGTATAAACCATGCTGATTCCATCCTCAAGTTCATCCACAGTTTTTTTCTCTGCACGCAGAAGTGCAGCCAGCTGACAACCACAGTCTGCCTCCACGCTCAAGTTCCTGGAACCACCACTCTGAAATTGTTTTGTATTTAGTGTGTGGTCCTGCATCTTGACTGAATCATCTTGTGTGTGCATGTTTACGATTAAAATCTAAAAAACCCTTTGATTCTGTCTTTGTGTCTGTGGTATCGCAGTAACATTTTTAAAATCAGATAAAGACTGTAGCTTGGGTCTCTGTGAATAGGAAAAGTAAAACTACTTGCTGCATGATCTTAAGATTAAAATAATGTATACAAATATCAATATCTAAATACATAACTGGAACTGGAAGTGTACTTGAATGTCCTAGTCAAGAACACAATACTATTATCCAACCATGCACTGTTTATGTAGCCTCAACGCAGTAGTACAGACACAAGGACATAATAACAAACATCTGTCAATCCACATTAAGTGAAAGCAAAATGAATGATTTTGGAATATAGGCTACTCAAAAAGTTGGTCAATTATGGTATTGAGTACTTTTAGTTAGTTATTTCCACCAATTAATGAGCCTGAATAAAGTTTAAAAACTCCTATATCAACCCTAAAATTAAATCTCAACTGACAGGCTAGACTAACCGTGACATATATAAAAAAAAAATTAAATGAATAAAGTGCATATTTCCTTTTTTTGAGAAGAAATACAAAGGCACTCTTGAACCCTGAGCAATAAAAAGTGTTTAGTAACGCATGGCTGAAGAACAATTTGAGCCATGCACGCAGTTTCCGCAAGCTTTTATCAGGTTATGTGAAAGAACAAACACAGATTCTTCAATGGCAAAATATGTGACACATAGCTGCAATTGTGTGGCTGTAAGCCAAGAGCAAGTTGAGGATGCAAATGACCTTTAAAGTTTGTCTAAAAAAAGCTGGATAGATTTTGAGAGACCTCCTGAAATACACCTGTTCTAAAACTCCACAAAAGTAAAATCTGTGAATTTAGTTACTATGGCAATGTAGACTCTTCTGGAATCAGGGATCTGCTCAATGCCAACTGTTTTGGAGGTGTTGATATAATGCAGTATTCATATTTATCCTTTAGTTTCCGTTTAGTCCTGCCAATATAAAAACTGCAGGGACATTCCAGGCACTAAACAACAAAAGACGTGTTGAAGTTCACATCTATTTTGGTGTCAGGGAAAACTTTGGTAAATTTTATAGCTGCAATAGCTGCCTTTTCCACAGTATTCTATTGTTTGGGCTGGAAAGAAAATACAATCTGGAATCTGAAAGTACTAATACAGGAAGTTACTATGTTATCTGACACCTGTTTCAACTCCAACATTAACAGGACTCTACAGCCATGTTAGAGGCTCTGTGAGGCTGTACTTACAGTAGGCCCTTACTACTAGTAAGGCTACGTACTACTGCTACTAGTACTTAGGGCCTAGCTTGTTAGCATGCAAACATTTGCTATTTAGCACTGAATGTGAGGTACAATTGAGGCTGATGGGAATGTCAGGTAAGTTTTGGACATATTGAAACAGATGATGGCGCTAGATGAAGTCAGGGTGTCATCAATACATCCTAAGGGCAACAAGAATATCTCTGCTATGTCGCGATGCCATGTTTCTACAGTAGCCCGAACCGTGCGTTTTGTTCGAAAAGAACAACTAATATTAGTAGTAGTAGTAGTCGACTGGTTTATTACAAGGAAGAAAAGAAGAGAAATTTGGACAAATGGAGGACACACGTATTATTTAGCACAAGAGCTGACAGAGCGTGGAAAAGGAGGAGTGAGCGGTCACTCAAATTTAAATGATGTCGAAATACTCAGAATAAATTTTAATTTTAAATCTTTGTTGCAAAAAGTTAAATAAAGTGTACATGGGACCTGTAAACATAAAATTTGTAATATGGTTATAACGGTTAGTTTGCTGTCCATGTAGTGTAGATGTCTGTGTGTCTGTCATTCCGACTTAAGAGCACATGAACACACACTGAAGTCGGAAAAGAACCACTTCACAACTCGGGAAATAGGACCATCCGAGGAGCACGTGAATGCACTGTGAACTGCTGGTTGCAATTCACAACCCTCACCACTCACTAAACCTTTAAGTAAAGTGCGGCAAGTAGTTGTTTTTGTATCTAGAAAGTCTTTGTTTTGTTCAGGGCCTTTACATCTCCCTTTCTAAATGTTGAATTATCTCTGAGCTGCTATATTGTACTGTATTATTGTCCTACTTATTTTGTGTTGCCTTTATAGCCATAATGCTGTTTATGTGTTGGTGGCACGTGGTGATGGTGCAGTGGATAAGACACATGCCTTTGTTGTGAGAGACCCGGTTTCAAGTCCACTGTGACACCAATGTGTCCCTGAGCAAGACACGGAAGTGTCCCTAGTTGCTCCAGAGGTGTGTGACCTTTGACATATATAGCAGTTGTAAGCTGCTTTGGATATAAGAGTCAGCTAAATGAATAAATGTAATGTAGCTATAACTTCAGTAAGACTTTTACCTGGTTAAAAAGGTATAATAAAAAAAAATATATAGGAAAGGTCAGGTAAGTCTTGTTGATTTTTCAGTTTAACTGCCATCTGCTGTAACGGCCCTGTGGATTTAGTGACAAACAACACTGACATGCAGCCATGGAAGAATTGCATTCTTGACATGCTTATAATTATCTTGACATGTGTTTTCAGGTTTGGGTGTGTGTCTTGTGCTTGCAGGTGCACATTCACTCCGTCAGCCTAAGTTATTCTTAGTGTGTGTGTGTGTGTGTGTGAACTGTTTGAGTGGCATTCCCACATTATTAAAAAAAAAGAAAAACTGCACCATACAACCAGAGGTGAAAAGAGTACTAAAATATTATACTTAAGTAAAAGTACTGTTACATTGAAGAATTTTTACTTAAGTACAAGTAAAGTCACTGGTAAATCTACTCAAGTAAAAGTAAAAAGTAGTTAATTTCAGAGTAAATGCTATGTTAAAAATAACTTATTTATACTGATTTAATATCTTATTTATAGGCCTACTTATTATACTTAGGCCTATTTAATTAAATCAGTCTTTTGCGATTTAAAGAGGGCACAAAAACAGATTTTAGTTAATTTGACAGATACTTTGCCAAAGCAATGGCGCAAAACAATGTTAGAGTTTTTGCTTCATTATGAAACTGTGGCGGGACAGATTAGACTCTGGCGGGCCACACTGGGCTGGGAAAATGGGAAACACTGGATGAATCATATCCCTATTTAGGTTACATTCAAACAGGTGGTAATTTTATTGGGACTTCTTAGGCGTTAGCATAATTAATTTTTTAGGTACATAGGCCTAAGCATAATTAACTAGTTACCAGTAGGTTATAGTTCCAACCAACATTAGCAATGTCGTGCACAGATGTCTTTTTGTCTAACTTAAGCAAAGCCTCTTCCAAACAATGAAAACTTCTTTTACCAACTACCGTGGTACAAGCAGGGTGCGAACTACAGGGAGGATTGGCTACTCTTAATAAGACATGACATGCTATTTTTGCCATTTGTTTTTAAATCTTCCGTATCATCATGGATCATGCGTAAAATGAGGAGAGTCGGGCTTTATCCAGCCAGAGGGAACGATCACCAATCATCCACAGCGCGACTGTGACAACTTGTATCATTTCACACATCTTTGGCTTAATGTGTAAGTCTGTGTTTGTGCGTTTGTTTGCAAGTACCTGTTGGTCTCCTGTTTGAGCCGCCCCAGCTGTGCTCCCAGTTGATGATGTGAGCGTTGATGCTCCTGGGAGTGAGCCGAGTTCAGCGTGCTGGGCGTGGAGTGAGCGGGGTCAACTAACGTCCCTGAGTCGTCAGCAGCAGGAGCTAAAACAGGACCAAACTCTGTTTCCTCTTCATCCACTTCGTCTTCCTTCTCTGCTCCCTCACACTCAGATGCCGGGCCGAAGTGGGTCTGCAGCTCTGTCAAAGCATGTGTGGCACTGTGAACTCATTTCTTAATGTGGATATTAAGCAGGAATGTTTACTTGCAAACATGCAGATGAAAGACAGAAAGCTTTGCATGTGTCTGTGAAAGCTCTGACCCGCCCACCTGGAATGAGGATGGTGATTGCAGCCTGCACAGCTCGGCGGATGATGTTATCCATAGCAAACATCCAGTGGGGTTTAATGTGATGGTTCCTCAGGACTTTGTTTACCTGAAAACAAAGAGACAAAGAAACAAGGACAGATATTCAGACCTTAGAGTCTCTAACTACTGACTGACTTGAATTGTCAGCAACACTGCACTCTGAAACCCATTATTTTCAATGGCTTGTGCCACGCCAGGGTGGTTTGTTGCTGTGTCAACCAAAGCCCACGCACAGCGCACTGCATGGCAAGCTTGCGCGCATACTGTGACAAATACCCACATGGGCCAAGCCAAAGCACATAAATTAAAATGGTAGGGATATGTTTACTACCAGTGTCATGACACAAGTTTGTATTCATACAGAGACATCAAAGCGGTATCATGGAAGCGTATTCATTGTCTGGTGCGTGTAGCTTGTTGTAGGTAGGCATGTCTGCACAGAGCCTATTTTTTCATCACACGGACCCTAGCGGTCCCTAGCGGACTCAAGCAAGCAGAAAGTATAACACGTGCTTTAGGTGTGTTATGTGAAATAAATACAGGTAGCTTCAATGTTGCATGTTTTAAAACTAGTTTGAGCCTCCTCTGCTCCATAACTTTGTACTTCCACTACTAAGGAAGCTCTGTTGTTATCTTAAATGCAGTATTATAATACACTGTAGTGCCTGCAGTGCAAATCACTTTGTATCTAAAAGGGCCATTAGAGTTCAGTTGGCTCCAAGATATGCAATCATATGTAATTCACAATTTAGACAAATTGGGAAGAAAACATTAACAATTTTGTTGTGTGTGTCCATTTGATATGGATGTGTATGCTGTTTACTATTACTGTCCCTATCTCCTCATTCGTAGCTGTCTCTCTGCGACCTCGTATAGTGTGAAAGAGGACCGAGAATGATATACAGTGAAGTAGAGGTAACAAGTAGAGAAGTGTAGCGAGAGCGGGTTAAGTGCGAAAGCTACCGATATTAGCCGTTGCTAATCCCCTCAACAGTTCGCCGTGTCCAGTGCTTGACTCAACAACGTAACAAATTTGGTTCACAATTCATTATTAAAGTCAAATCTGAATATTTAATTTTCCTAACAAACAAAGATTTTAATTGTAGGACAATACAATGCAGGTACAAAATCAAGGGCAACTGGACCTGGTTGAAGATACTCGAAGATGTTTTGCCTCTTTTCTTCAGTTCAAAGAAGAGTCTTCAAGTATGTTCAACTCAGTCCAGTAGGAAGACTGAGAATCTTGACTGTATTGATGGAAATATATAGAAGTAGTTTAATTCTGGATTGTAGTGTTAATTTTGTCAGCCATTTCAAAATTTTGTCTTAGTCCTGTGTCAAATGTCCTTGTTAGTTTTTGTCATATTTAGTCCACTGTATACAATTTATTTATCAAGTTTTTGTTGAATAAAAGTCTGGGTATTTTAGTCTGATGTTAGTCAAAAGAACATCAAAAGTATTTTAGTCTAGCCTTTAGCCTTTATTTCAACCATTTCACACATAGATAAAATGCTTTGTAAAATTGAATGTTATCTTTGTTCTCATTTTTATTGCAAAGGAAACGTTAACTTTTCTCAATTCCCAGCCTTGATATGCCGTTTCAAGTTCATAGAGTTTTTTCCAGAAATCTTATGACCACATTGCTTGCCGTCCGATATAATATTTATAACTGTTAATAACTGTTTTTTTGACCGCCTCACTGTTTTTGAAATGGGATCAAATATCTAAGCGCCTATTTCTCCCCAGCATGTTGTGTTTATCACCAGAGTTCGCCTCCTTCAGACTAACATTTTTCTCCCACACCAGGAATCGCTGTCACACTGTGGGCGTGTCTGTTCTGCTTTGTTCATTTAGTTCTCAATCAGTCCTGTTATTTGTTGTCCTTTCTGTACCTGTTATTTAGTCTGTGTGTCTTGTTGGAGAGTCGTAGTATTTGCTTCTAGTTCCTTCTCTGCATCATTATTGTTTAGTCTGCTCGGTACTCTGTGTTCTAGTTCTGTTTTCTTTTAGGTTTTGTCTGTTATGATTCCTGTGTTATAGTTGGTCGGTGTTTGTCTACATAGGTCTTGTTTACATAGGTTTCTGTTATTGTCTGAAGTTAGATTCTTGGGTATTTTGTAACATGTGTTCTGTCTGTGTTGGTTATTTATTTTGTCCCATGTCTGCCTGTCAAGCGTCTGTTCCCCCAGTTATCACTCTGCCTGCCTGCCTGCCTGCCTCTCTGTTCCCCTTTGATGTCTCTGCCTGCCTCGTTTACCTTGATCCCTGTCACCTGTGCTGCTCCCGCCCTGCTCGTTAGTCCCTGTGTGTGTGTGCATATATACCTGGTGTTTCTGTTCAGTCTTTGTCCGGTCATAGAGTGTTTTGTAGTGTGATATGTTCTGTCATGTGTAGCTCTGTGCTTGTCTCGTCTCTAGGTTATCTGTTTCATTTGGATTGTTATTCTTTGGATGCATCTCTGCCAGTAAGTGTGCTCGCCTTTTGTTTTGCCACAATAAACCCTTTTGAACTGTACCTGCTCCGCTCTGCGTCCTGCATTTGGGTCCACCAACCTGCTCACCATACCGCACCCTGAAAGTCACCCCGGTCGGCCAGAAAAAAATACAGCTGAGTAAACACACTGTTCAAGTGAAAATTTAGAGGGAGAAAATATGGCCTGATATTTTGTCTCCTCATACTGAAAACGATTTTATTCACGTTTTTATTTTATCAATTACATTAGTTGTCATTTTCGTCAACAATATTGCATGTTAATATAGTCACAGTCAGTGTTTAAGTACATTGTCTCGTCATCGTCTCAATTTAGTCAGGGAGAAAAAGGTCGCTGACGAACATATTTCGTTTAGTTTCGTCTGACGAAAGTAACACTACTGGATTGGATAAACAAATCACAAAATTCACATCAACCTAACCACTTTCTTGATTAATTTCACAAGTTTTACTGAAATATTGCCTTACTACTATTAAGTGGATGTTTAACAATGTTGTTTTCAGTACAAATATCTCTTTGTATCAGCCTACAATAGTTTGCACATCTCGTCTTTTCCCTTGTATTCTGTGACCATGACAACCAGCTCTACTGTTTCATAATGT